CGCCGGGAAGCCCGGGGAAGCCCTGGCAGCGGACGGAGCCCGGGGACCCAGGACCCAGATTGCAACCTTGTAGCCGGCTACCTGTGGTGTAGCCTTTCCCAGTCCTGGTTTCCTTCTCTGTAAGCCAGGACGGTAACTCGCCTGGACCTTTTCGAAGGTGTCCACACCAGGGAGCAGCCTGGCGTGCAGAAAGCACTCTTAGGAGCTGCTGTGACTTTCTTTTGGGCTAAGTACCTTCTAGGTTCCCGGTAGGCCTAATTTTCTTGTGTTAAATGTTATGCATGTTGACTTTCTTTTTTCTGTTTATTATAAAGCCTTTCTGCCTTAAACGTCAGTGTTTATCCAGGACACCAAATGTGGGCTTGCTTGAGCGTTCTTCCTTGCCATCAAAGATTGGGTTAGGGTACCTCAGGAAGGCCTTGTTCCTGCCCTGTCCCTGCTTCTAACTGTGAGGTTTGGGTGTGGTCTGTCACTGTGAAGTTAGGTAGAGGCCTCATCTGACTACTTGGTAGCTGATCTCATTTTTGTTTCTGTAGTCAGTGTATTTCTATGTATGAAAGACATCTCAGAAGAAAGTCATTTTTTCTTGATTGGTGTTAGCTGAGAGGGGCCTAGGAGTCAGTTGTTAAGCTAGTACTGTTCAGTGCACAGTACTGGCTGTCACATTCCAGCCCCTTCCTCTAGCCATCAACATCCCCTGTGGGATTGTGCTGCTGTCTCTCTCAGCAAGCGTCTGGTGTGCAGTTTTCGTTCTTGCTCCCCCAGGAAGCCCATGGCCCCATGTGAGATCTGTGGAGCTGCAGGGTCCTGCAGAGAGCTGGGGCCCAGATCCTGCAGCCAGGTAGCCCCAGTTCCCACGTAGAAACTGTGTGACCTTGGGCAAATTTTATGACTTCTGGGGGGCCTCAGCTTTCCATCTGAAAAAGATTGCCTGCCTCTTAGACTTGTTGCAAGCTTAGAGGAGACACTGAAGCACCAGTGCTTTGTTATCAGTAGGTGTGAGCTCCTAATGGTGGTGTAGGAGACAGTGGTATGGTGTTCCTGGGTTCTGTGGGTAGAGAGAAGAGGTGGCTAGGTTCAGTTGTACACCTCAGTAGGACTTAACTAAACTTGATTAGAGTGCCAGTGTGAGGGTGCCTAGAACCTCTGGAATGGGGAGGTGTGTGGGCTCCTCCTAGATATTAAGGATCTGTCCATGTGGGTAGATCCTCCTTGGTCTGCACGTCAGAACAGGATTTCTTATTCTCCGCAGCAGTGGAAGCAGTAGAGGTTTTTAAGCCTCACATTAACCTTTCAGGAAGGTGGTACCTAGCTACTTCTTGGCCTTGGTTTGGAAGTGGGAAAGACCATGATTACTTGTTCTGGTAACTTTGCATCTATCTAGAGTCTGAAAGGAAATGATGGCTTCCATAGATGGGCTTCCAAAACCATCTGGAAGTGTAAAGAGCACTGACAGAAGGCACAGAGCAGCTGCTGGGCTATCCAGGCAGCTTCTCCCTGAATCGTGCATTCTGTCTGGCATGTCTGATGACTGCCCATAGAAGTCTCCCTCCCAAGAGGATGCCACCCCAGCTTGAGGGCTGTCCTGCACGGTACCTAGGTCACCATCCTGAAAGACAGGGCACTGTATAAGAAAGATGATCAAGGTCAGATAGTTCTTCTGTCTTACCAAATCGGTTGTGTGAAGGAGAAACCAGGAAGGGTTTAGCAACTATTGCTCAGTGCCTCATAGTGCAAGTGTCAGGTACCACTGGGAAAAGCCTGTGCAGGTAGGGGGCAGGGAGCAGTACCATAAGTGATTAGTGGAAAAAGTGCCATCCACCTGCATTGGTTGATGGCTTGGGGCAAGATTTCCAGTAAGAGCATCATGTGGATTCAGGAAGTTTCTATAGTAAATGAGTTGGTGCTTGTGAAGGTGAGGTGCTCTGAAAAGTGGAATTTGACGTTCAGAGTGGTTTAACTGGTCATGGTTACTGGTATTTGAAATGTATGCAAATGCGTAGAGTAAAAGTTTTTCATTAATTAGCATGTTGTCATAAGTATTTTTAAATACGTGTAAACTAATAAATTAGAGATTAAAATTAAGCATTTATCCTTCATCTATAATTCATACAGCTCTTACAGCTGTTAATTTCCATATTTTAAGATGACTAAAAAGATTTCTTTCCACTTCCCATTTGTAAGAGTGAGGCAGACTGAGCCTACCTTTTGGTTGGGCATCCTTCCTTCCTTCCTTCCTGTTTAGACGGGTTGAAGTGTCTTACTGATCCTGTGATGTTTGCAGTGGTAAAGATAGCTCTGTCTTTACAATCAAAATGCCAGCTTAGGGACAGTTTGTGATTAGAAGTGTCATGAGCCAGCATTTTCAGCTCAGGTGCAATGCTTCTATTTCACTGAGTGCGTGCACCTGGAACTCCTTGGTCTGCACGTGTGGCCGCTAGAGTTCGGACACAGCTCCTCAGGTGCAGTGGCCACACATGCTCAGAACCCGCACGGCTGGTGTCTCCCGTGACAACCTGTGTGGACCAAGGATGGACACCTGGGGACTGTTCTGTTCCAGGCTCACTCACGTGGATGTCCTAATGTCACTAAGGCATCTGAAACCTCATGTGCCGCATTTAATTCAACCTTGGGAGCAGTGGTGAGCACAGAAAGCACTCACCGTACGCTGAGCACCATGTGTCCTGCCTGCAGTGGTAACAGCACACACCAGCATTTCATCTGTGGCAGACGTAGCCAGAGGTGTATAAATGCCCTGTGTGGACATCACCGTATGCCATGGTAACGAGGCTGTGTATGTGTCAGCTTTTCTGTGTTGTAGAGTCAGTACTTGAGGAGGAATAAAATATATGTGGCCTTTTCATTTTATAGAAATCACAAAAGACCACAAGCTAAAGGGAACCATCAGGAATATCCGGCAAAAGCTGGACAGTGCTCCATTAATTCTTCTCCAAAGGTGAGAAGAACTCTCCTCAGGGTGCTCCACCTGCTTGGAGAGAGGGAGGGCAGGAACCCCTGGGGTGAGATGAAGGTGGAGCTGTTGTTTACTCTGGCAGTGTCCAGGAGTGATCTTGGTGGGAGTGCCCCTCCCAGTGGAGAAGGATCTGGGCTGTGGGCAGGGAGCAGGGCAGGAAGTGAGGGAGGGGGAAGGGATCCTGAAGGCCAGGCCTCTTGCTCTCCAGGAGTGCTGGGTAAGGAGGATCTGAAGGTAAGACTCAGTCTTGCATCTGCATCATCCACATGGAAGTGTCTTGCTAGCCTCTTGCTCAGGAGGGTGGCCTGTCTGAAGACTGAGTCTCATGACGGTGGTGTGATGCTGGGAACATGAAGAGAGTCTGAGGGAGGAAATGCGCCCAGCACAGTCCTGTCAGCCACAAGCTCACCAGGGACAACACAGTGCTGAGAGGCAACTTGGGTTGACCAAGAGTCAGAGAGTCAAGGTCATGGTCAGGTGGGACCATCAGGCCAGGCGAGGAGACTGGCGACTATTGAAAGCAACCCGGGTGGGGTGCAGAGCATTGTGGTGATCCCAACTACCCGCGATTTCTGGTGGCATCTGCTATGGTTCTCTGCCTTTGCCTATGGACACCTTGGGCAGGAGCACAGCTTATATAGCTCAGGTGTGGCTGTCAGCTGGGCAAAAGGGTCTGGGGAAGCCAGCATGGTTGTGGGATTAGCCTTGCTCAGCGAGCAGGGCCGGCTCCTTACTCTCAGTTCTAGTGGTGTTTCTCAGCCAGGTGAACACACTTATCTAACCATCAGTGCAGCACTCAGTTTTGAGGTCCTACCTAGAATGACCTTTTGACCACTTAGTGGAAAACAAGTGTTAAGCACCTCATGGGCCCTTGATCTCTCATTCAGCCAAAGTACAAAGCGATTTCTCATCTGTTTTAAGCATAAATTTACAGTGGGAAAAATATATTTACTCGGCAACAACAGAAATTACACCCACTAACCATTGGTCAGAGACTCCTGGGAGCTGAGCCAAGGTTTTATTCTGAACCACCTTGCTCAGACTACTGCCTTGTGGAGGATGGGCCTCCATGTGACAGCTTTGTGTGTTTCAGGGACTACATGATGTTCAGCTGGGACATGGTGGCCTGGGGGTGCCTCCTAGACCCCCTCTGTCAGCCACTCACATGTGGACCAGGTGGGAGGGGTTGGCATGCAGTGTGTGGCCAAGCCTGAGGCCCATCATGGGCAGGAGCCAGGGCTCCAGGATTCTGGCCCACATCTCCAAAGTGGTCGCCCAGAGCCACCCGTTGCTTCAGTTGAGGTCATCATGCTGGGAGTCTTGGGACAACATGGAATGTAGGTGGAGCAATAGGAGAAAAACACACTGTCTGAACCTTCTTTCTGATTTCTAGAAATACAAACCACATAAAGAGAAAGGTGTTTGACATATATTTTGCCTTTAAGGATTATAGTTGAAAGTACAGGAAATTCGAAATTTCAGCAAGGTATGTATAGTTATGTCCAGACCTGGTGTCCTCTGAAGGGGTTTTGTGGCTCCAGGAAACATGAAGTGGGCAGTGGAAAGTGCAGTGCTGGGCGAGTTCTGAGCCTGGAGTGGAGGGTGTCATAAGGAGGTTCTTATCTTATCTGCAGGCATGGACCTGTGGAACGCAACCTGGGGCTGATTTCTCTGAGGTACCTTCTCATTTATTCCTCTCCAAGTATGGCCTGAGGATCACACCAGCAGGAGCAGTTGCACCTTGGCCCTGGGCTTTAGTCTGCATGGCCAAAGGAGTCACACCAAATGCCTACCCTGAGGTCTGCGACCTCACAGTTGGTCCACACCACCTGCAGAGGGGTCCTCGCCCCAAGTCCTGACATGGATCAGACAGGGTGCCCTTGGGGCAGGTGTTGGCACACTGGCTTCTTGCCCAAATGCAGCCATGCTGCACCGATGGCAGTCTTATGTTTGTCCTTTCAGAATATCTGGCCTTTCCCCTCCTCTACAGATACCCTGTGTTGGACTACCTGCATCTTCGCAGGGTCTGGCCTCCCACTGGTTGGTTGTTCCTGCATCTCTCATGAGCAGGTTGTCCTTGCAGAGGGGTCTGATTAGACTGCTTGGGGACACACTCCCCCATCAGTAGGAGGTGGCAGTAGGCCACCCGGTAAGCTGTCTGTGTTCAGGAGGGCAGTGGGCTGGTGTGGATGACGAGAAAGCACCCCCCCACACACAGCTGCTGTGTGATTCCGAGTCAGAATCTAGTCCAAGGCTGACATCACTGGTGCACACACCCCAGAAGACTCATACAACAAGTTAGGGGCCATAGAGAACCACAGGCACAGTCGCTGACCTCTTGCATCCTAATGTGGTGACTAATGGTCTGTCCTCAAGGTGGATGGGTGATGCTGAGAGTGGGAGGTCACTCCCAAAGCAGCAGAACCATGTCAGCAATTAGGAATGTCAACTGGGGAAGAAAGGGGGGCTTTACAGTAAGACAGCCTCTGTGGGTCATCTGGGCTTCTCCCTGTGCCATCAAGCCACGACCCAGCACCCCCAGTGCTGTTCCTTTCCAGATGTGCTTTGTGTTCCTTGCAGTCCCCTGGAGTGAAATACTAGGTGGCACTGTCTCAGTGCCTGTGGTGTAGCAGAGTGCTGGCCTCTGCTGCATGGATGTGGGTGTGGGCATGTCTGTCCAGCCTCCCACCTCTCTGCCAGGAGGCCCTGAGAATTGAGCCAGGTGCCTGCAGAGCAACACCAGTCAGCATGGAGGAAGGTTGTGCCGGCCGCAGGGGTCCCAGGGAGCTCCTCACCACAGGCCATGCACTAAGAAATTGTAGATGGATGACAAATTTCTGGAAAAGGTAGAATTTTCAATCTTAAATAACGAGAGCACTCAGGAGAAGGCTGCCACGGTCCATCTGGAAGGCGGACCCAGTGGTGTGGGTCAGAAGCAGGCTCCACATCCTGCAGCCCTGGTTCTCAGGAGCCTGCTGGGGGCGAGGTACCTATGAGGCACTGTAGTGGTGGCCCATGCCCCGATGCTAGAAGCAGGCTACTCCCTGTGCATATTAATGGGGGACCAAGTGCTGTTCGTCCCACTGTCTGGGGTCATTACATGATAGTGAATAAGTTTCCTGCACAGGAGCATTTGTGGCCATGGCAATGCTAGAGGTTCCTTTAGTTCTTGAAAGTAAATTTAATAATGAAGGAAAATAATTCCTCTGCTTGTTCTCTTTGTGTGTGTGTAAGAGAGAGAAAGGGGGGGAGAACCCTGGAATGAGTTCAGACTATTACAGATTATTAAAACATAGTTTGCCCCATACAGCTCATTTCCTGCCACTTTTCTTCCGGCCTGACAAGACCTGAGGCGTTCCACACACTTACTTGCTCTCTAGCAGCTGTGGTGCTTTTCAGGGCCTGTGGTTCAGTTTGTACAGAAGTGATTTGTTTCGCATGAAAGCACACTGTCTTGACCCTTGCTGTGGTGCTAGCAGGGCTTCCTGACCAGTTCTGGGTTTTGTGTCTTGGGTTCTGCGCTGCCTCTGCCCATGTTTAGTGATCTTGCTGCTTGTTCACACCTCTCAGGGCAGGCGGGGAGGAGACAGGCCTGGCCCGTTGCCTGTCAACTGCTCTGATGTGGGGTCCTGGGTCTGACTGAAATCATGGTGTTGGGGTGGCCTATGGGTCTGTTGTGCTGCTGTTCCCACTTCCACGACTGATGTTGGCGATATGATCATGGGAAACCTATGAAGGGGAGGAGCATGCAGTAGGCAGCTGGCTTAGGCTATGCGTGTGGCCACATGGCCAGTCTTCCTGGCCCCAGCTGATCTCTGGTGCTGTGGCCCGTCGCCCTTACAGTCCCACCTGTGCTTCCCCCATGAAGGTCATGAAACGTGTGCGCACGGAGCAGCTCCAGACGGCAGTGTCCTGCTACCTCAAACGCCGGCAGTACGTGGACTCCGATGGCCCCCTGAAGCAAAGCCTGCGACTGTCACAGAGTGCAGAGGAGATGGCGGCCAACCTCTCAGGTGATGCTGGGCCCCTGCAGCTGGCCTAGAGCCGGGCTCCTCTGCTTGTAGATGCTTTACCTGTACCTGCTGGTCTGTACAGCCTCTTTGCCCCCCACTCCAAGACCCTGAGGGCCAGGTCCCCTCCACTGGCGAGAAGTGTTTTGTAGGGTGAATGAGCACTTTTGAGGACAGTGGTTTTTAAAAGATCTTTCTGTGTACAACCAGAGACTTGGAATGTTGTGCTCTATTTGTGTACAATGAATTGAAATGCATCTGTTGTCATGTATAATTAAGTAGAACAAATTTCAAAAAATGGAGGAAAAAATCAACCTCAACAACTTAGTGAGACCCTAAGCAACTTAGTGAGACCTTGTCTCTAAATAGGGGATGTGGCTCAGTGGTTAAGTGCCCCTATACCAAATCCCCAGTACAGAAAAACAAACAAACTTAACTAATATACAAAACCATAAAAGTTGTGCGTATTAATGGGGGACCAAGTGCTGTTCTGTAATGTTTAGGGCTGGGGTGTAGCTCAGTGGTAGAACACTTATGTAGCATGCATAAAAAAGTCTTATTGTTCTGAAATCAGGTTCTGTAGAAAAACCTGTCCTCCACCTGGAATAGCAAGTGGTGATTGCTCAGTCAATTTGAGTTTAGGCTTCTCTGTGATGCGACTTTCTCGGCTGAGTCCCTGCACAGTGCTGGGGCTGGGGGTGTGGGCCAAGGGCCTGGTGGCTATGTGGAGGTGGAGCAGGAGCAGCACCTTCTCTCTCTCTTCCTGGACTTTTACTCTTACAGACCCCATCCCCACCTTCCATCCCTGCTCCCCTCACTCTGCTGTCAGCGCCTGGCCTCCCTGCTTGGAGGGTGGGTTGACTTTGCTACAGGAAGGAGATGGGATGGTGAAACCCAAGGACATCCTCAGGCAGGTTTCTCGCTCCCTCTGAGGCTCTCTCGGGCTCAGGGATCTTTAGACTGTCATCCTGGACAAGATGGAGCCAGGTGCTGGTGTGGTGCAGGTTAAGGGGCCTGGTCTCCTGGAGCAGCCCGAGTTGCCCTCTCCTGTGGCTGTGGTACAGGTGATGGAGAGCAGACAGTGCAGCCTGATTCTAGCCTGAGATAAGAGGAGAGTGCTGTTTGGGAAAGGAGAACTAAACATGTAGTAGTGGAAAGGAGAACTTGGCAGAGGACTGAAAATCAAGGAGGCCTCCAAGGAAGTGAAAAGACCCCCCACTGCCTGCACCACTACATGCTGTAGCATGGGAAACTCATAGACCCGGCATTTCTAGATGTGCCTTAGCAACGTGACAGGCTGTCCTCTTCCCTCTCATGGGTCCTGTGCTCTCTGCCTTTTTATTCCTCTGCCCTTAAAGTAGAGTATCAGGAGGGAGGGGGCAGATAGGTCAGCAGCACAGTGGTGGCCACCTATGGACTGCCTGTGCCACTGGGACAGCCCAGCACCTTCCCTGGCCCTCCACCTGTCCTGCTATTAATCTCCTTCCTGCCTTTCTCTTTTCCTCCTCAGTCCAGTCTGAATCTGGTTGTGCCAACATAGTGTCTGCAGCCCCTTGCCAGGCAGAGCCCCAGCAGTATGAAGTACAGTTCGGACGGCTGAGGAATTTTCTCACTGGTGAGTGCTCAGTTGTGGGAACCTTTCCTAAGATAGAGCAGTACAAATTTTTCTCGGAGCTTGTCATATAGTGGGCACAGTGTTGGGACTGTGTGCAGACAAGCCTCGTGGAATTGACAAGGGAGTTGAAGTTCTTGAGGCTAAAGTTCACAGAGGCCAGAAGAGAGCTCAGGTGCTTGTTCTGTCTTGCCACAGCCCTCAGCACAGGGATGTGATGTGTGCTGAGTAGCTTGAAGCAGAAGTCCAGCATGGGGAATGCCCCTAGGTATTGTGCCAGTCACAGCACGTCTTGAGGTGGTCTCTGTCCTGTGTTTCCAAAAGTGGGAGACTGTAGTCCTCCTGAATCAGCAGGGGCTGGATGCTCCCTGGGACAAGTGACCTCTGTAATGCAAGTCGATAGACCGGTATTCCATCTGCTCCTTTATCACCATGAGGTCAACTCAATGTAGCCACTGTTGAAAAACCAGTCACTTAACCTGTCTGGGACAGAGGCAGTTGAAGGCTGAACCTACGCGTCCCTACAACCTTAGGTGCCTGGTGCCCTTGAGGTGCTAGGAGGTGGCAGCAGAGAAAGCGGTGAGCAGCTGGTGTCATCTGTCATGTAACTTCTGTGCAGAGCCCCTTGTAGAAAGTGGGAGCCTGCTCCACCCTTGAACCACCTTTGGTTTAAAACTTGGAGTGTTTTTTTTTTTTTTTTAAGTGCTAGGGATTGAACTCAGGGGCACTGGCCCACTGAGCCACATCCCCAGCTCTATTTTGTATTTTATTTAGAGATAGATTTCACTGAGTTGCTTAGTGCCTCGATTTTGCTGAGTCTGGCTTTGAACTCGTGATCCTCCTGCCTCGGCCTCCTGAGCATTACTGGCTTGTGCCACCGCGCCGGGCACTTGTTCTATTTTTATTTGAACGATCCACGTGTTAATAATTTTTAATGCGCAACTAATAAAAAATAATAATAATAATAATTTTTAATGGTAACGATGTGTTTGAGGAGACCCACAAATAAAATGATGCCCCTGGATGTATATATGCGTAGATTATCCTAGTTTTCTTTGCATAATTTACGTACACCCTAAAAGCCCTAGGACCAACAAATCTGGCCACTACCTCTGTCACTGTGCCCATGGCTGTCACTTCCCAAGCCTCCCACTCATCCACATCTTCTGTGGGTGCTGGCATGAATGACACCTGCCCTAGGCAGCCTCCTCTGATGACCCCAATAAGCACGTTCTGCTGTGGGCCCACGCCTCAGTATAGTCATCCTGGCTTGGCATGAGCTGGCACTATTGCTCTTCCGCAGGGAGATAGGGGTGGAAGAAGGCACACGCTGGTCGGAGGCCAGGTGCCCCCTATGGAGAGGAGCTCATCAGAGTGAAAACGTCACTCAGGAATAGGGTCTATGGTGGGAGTGCCTCACCCTCCCCAGGTCCTGCATCTCTGCAGGACTTGCTGGAGGTCAGGCAGGATTGGGGCTTCTGTTCCTGTAGTTGGTACATAAAGCTCATTGCAAATTGCAATAGTTAAAGAAGCATCAGAATCTGCATCAGCTGGATTCCCAAAAAAGCAGAACTAACAGGACATGCAGAGAGGATGCGTCTCAGGCAGTGCTAGGGGTCCAGCGACAGCTGGAGTGTGATCAGAATTCCTTCCTGGAGCACCTGGGTTCTTTTCTATTGAGGCCTTCACTCACGTTGTGGAGGGCTGTTGCTTGAAGTCTGTTTAGCCGTTAAGTCGGCTGACTTAGAAGCTACTTGCTTGTGAAAAATGCCTCCACAGCAGCAGTCTAGAATAATGTCTGACCAAACGTTCGGTGCCGTGGCTCAGCCAGCTGGACACACAGATTCACTCCACCTCGCACCTGTGTGGTGTGTGTGGCCTCCAGCATGCTCCCTCTCTAGAGAAGCAGCCTTTCAAGAGCTAAGCAGGAGAAACAGGAGGTGGGGACAGTCACATGCCTGCAGCTGGCCACAGCCTGTGGGCTGAGCCAGGCCTGTTGCCAGGAGGGGCTATGCTAAGCAAGCTCCACCTACACTGGGCTGTGGTTTTCACAGGCTGATGGGACAACCTCACAGAGAGACACAGGATGACTTCAGCCACATGGTCTTCCTTGCCCTACGTGGGGCAGCTATCCAGCTCCCCTGGGCAGTGGTGCTGTGTCCTGACCAGCCAGAGGCTCTGAGCTTCACCTGTGGGCCAGCAACACAGTGGTCAGGCATCTCGCCCCGGGCAATGGGGGCATTTGTTGTCATTGTAGACAGTGGTCTCTGTGAAGGAGGGGACGGCTGCCTACACCACATCTGGCACTGTTCCCTGTCTCTTGGGAGGTGGACATTCGGAGGGAACTGTGGAGATTGCTGTTGCCAGGTGAGGCAGGTGGATTCTCCCACTCAGCATGCCTGCTTGTGCCAAGGAAAGGCCTGCAGGGCACGGTGCTGAGTTGGAGTGCTGTGTGATCTGTCTTCACAGGGACAGACGTTATGCTGCATGTGACCCTAACACCTGCCGTGTCTGTACAAACCCAGACTCACTGCAGATGAGGACAAATAAAGTAGTCAGCAGAGCTCAAAGTACAGCAAGCAGCTGGATTTTACTGCCGTTGTGCCTGTGTCCATGTGGTCCTGGTGGCCGTGCAGCCATACTGCTGCCCTACTTTCTCGCTTTGCTGCCCAGCCTGACAGCATGAGCACTTAGTATCTCACAACTCTGGTCTTGTTATCCTGTGAAAGTTTTATTTAACCTTCTTAGTCATGTAGTGTCCCAGTAGTAAGTCTCAGTGTCTCAGTAGTAAAAAGAGTGGTGTGGTCCTAAGGGCATCAGAGTGTCTTCATTTGTAAATTACCATTGAAAAAGTATTAGATTTTATGGCACACATCCCAGTGACCCGGGAGGCTGGGCAGGAGGATTGAAGTTCAAAGCCAGCCTCAGCATCTCTGTAAAACCCTGTCTCAAAACAAAAAGGGTTCAATTCCTAGTGCTGAAAAGAAAAGAATTATATTTTAACCAGCAATGTCTATATGAGGATGCATGTTGAGGGCCACAGCGTGGCATTCTGCCAGAAGGGAGTGGTTGAGAGGTGAAGCCAGTGAGCCATTGAGATGTTGATGGTTATGTTAAGCTGTGTATTCAGTTGTATATAGACCCGCCTCAGGCCCACCTCAGGTGCAGGCTACTTTGGAGTTCTCACAGGGATTCCTGGGGAGTTTGGGAAGGCCCGCTTGGGGGGTGGGGGGAGTTCGGAAATAAAGTTTGTTCCTGCTTGAGTGGCTCTCGTGATTTGTGCCCAGCCAGACTGTGGCATTTGGTGGCCCGTACAGGAACACCTGAAGCTTGGAGGTAAGTGAAATTGCTTGCCCCTTGGGGCTGGGGATGTGGCTCAAGCGGTAGCGCGCTCGCCTGGCATGCGTGCGGCCCGGGTTCGATCCTCAGCACCACATACCAACAAAGATGTTGTGTCCGCCAACTAAAAATAAATAAATATTAAAATATTCTCTCCTCTCCTCTCTCACTCTCTCTTTAAAAAAAAAAAAAGAAAAGAAAAGAAATTGCTTGCCCCTGAGGGAAGGCGAGAGAATGGTAACCATTTAAAGATTCTTCTTTTGTTTTGTTTCACTTTGGTTTTAAGTTGCCAGTCCCTGGAGATGGGTGGGACGGAAAAACTCAGAGGCAAATAGTTTTTCTGAGGAAAAACTATTTGCCTCTGAGGAACAAACAGATAGGCAGAAAGGACGGATGGACATTTCAGGAGGATAGAAAGGCAATATAATGAATTTTTGTTCCATTTTTGTTTCATTTTGTCTCAGTTTTGTTTTGCATTATCTTAATGAGGGGTATCTTCGTCATGGAAATATGGAATTAAAAATTAATAAGAACAAAACCAAAAGGGCGTTAAGTAAAGTGCTAGAGGAAGGAGGCATCTCAGTAAAATCAAGAACAGTTAGGGCATACGTCAAGACGACACAAAGCTGTAGCCCATGGTTCATTAAAGAGGGGTTGTTAAATATATCACAGTGGAACCATCATGGTGAAGATTTTAAAAAGATACAAAAGGAAAGCCCAGGAACTCTGCCAGTTGGCACATTACCATTATGAACATTGGTACAACCTTGTTTGCTTAGTCTAGGAGAAGACACTTTAAATCAAGTAAAAGAGGAAGTCTCTCGAGTTAGACAGGGGAAAAAAGTTTAGAGAAGGAGGGGCTATCTGGAGAGAAGTTACAATGGGAAGTTGCTACTAACACCTTTCTATCACCAGAGGGCTACTAAAACCTTTCTATCACCAGAGGGCGTAAGTGTCCAACCAACAGCTCCACCTATGGAGACAACATATGCTGAGTGGCCCTCAACACACACACACCACCACCCCCTAGTTGATAGATGGGATCCCGAGCAGGACCTCAAAGATTAGCGTGCCCTGTATTAGAGACGGACAGCAGGGGTCTATATACAACTAAATACATAGCTTAACTTAACCATCAACATCTCAATGGCTCGCTAGAGTCACCTCTCAACCACTCCCTTCTAGCAGAATGCCATGCTTCATCCCGACTGGGCTGTGGCCCTCAACAGATGCAGATGGGTGGTTTTGGGTATAGGTTGATTCACATGTTGGATGCCCACTGAGTAGTGCTCTGACCTCAGTCCAGCTGTGTGCAGCTAGAGTGCTTGGGGAAGAGGAGCTGGAGACCCATTTGCTCCCCAGAACTTCTTGCCACGTGGCCATGTAAGTGTTGAATGAACTTGTGTTCATTGTTTTTAAGGTGATCGCCATCCATTTAGAATTCATTCTCCCAAAAATACATTTAGAGCCCTCTGTGAGACGTGGGCCTCTGGGGGATACTTTGCCCTAAGCCCGGGCATGTCCTCACACTCTGGGCCAGGCTGGGCCCTAGGGCCCTTGCTTTTCCTTCCTCCACCAGAAAAACTTTGAAGTCCAGAGTTCCACTGGGCTGCCGCATCAAGGCGCAGTTGGTGGAGAAGCAGTGTAGCAGGGCTCCCCAGCTGGGTCACCTTGTCTACGCGTGCTGCATCTTGAAAGCCCTCTCTCTTTCTCATTGCAGATTCTGATTCCCAGCACAGCCATGAAGTGATGCCCCTCCTCTACCCCCTCTTCGTCTACCTCCATCTCAACCTGGTCCAGAACAGCCCTAAGAGCACGGTGGAGAGTTTCTACAGCCGCTTTCATGGGATGTTCCTACAGAACGCAGGCCAGAAAGAGGTTATTGAGCAACTGCAGACCACACGGACGGTCCAGGACGTCCTGTCCGACTCCAGGCTCCGCGCATTCCTAGACAACAAGTACGTGGTCCGCCTGCCGGAAGACAGCTACAACTACCTGGTGCGCTACCTCCAGAGTGACAACAACACCGCACTGTGCAGGGTGCTGGCCGTCCACATCCACCTGGATGTGCAACCTGCCAAGAGGACAGACTACCAGCTCTACGCCAGTGGCGGCCCCCGTGGTGAGAGCGGTAGCCTGGAGCCCCCAGATGTGCCCAGCCCTCTCTTACAGAATGAGGCCGCCCTAGAGGTCCTGCAGGACAGCATCAAGCGTGTGAAGGACGGGCCTCCCTCCCTCACCACCATCTGCTTCTATGCCTTCTACAACACGGAGCAACTGCTCAACACCGCTGAGGTCTCCCCCGACAGCAGGCTGCTAGCTGCCGGGTTTGACAACTCCTGCATCAAGCTCTGGAGTCTGCGGTCCAAGAAGTTGAAGGCGGAGCCCCACCAGGTGGACACATCTCGTATCCGCCTGGCTTGTGACACTCTGGAGGAGGAGGTAGGAGCACCACTCCCCACATGTCCTTCCTGACTGCTAGTATCTGCCACACCTGGCAGAGCTCCCAGAGAGCAGACACCCCTGCTCCCGTCATGCACAGAGCCAGTCTCATGCCACGTGCCTTAGCCACCAAGTCCTGCCCATTCCCAGCCCAAGATTAGATGCCATTTCTCATAGTATTATGTAGCACTGTTAATCAGAGGTCAGTACCTACCCCTTCTGAAAGGTCGATGCCACCCGTGAGCGTCATTGAATACCTATTGCCGAAACTGGATGAGGCTGCGGCTAGGTGACCCTGAGCGTGTGTGGCAGTGCATGTGGGCTGCGGGGCCAGGTCTGTACTTGTGCTGGGTAGCATCTCTCTCACAAGGCAGTACTGCTGTAGACACCACAGCACAGTAGAACATGGCATGGAGGGGTCCACCCTCTGACCCAGGCAGAGCCTACCTGCCCCTCAGGCAATATGGCAGCTGTGGCCAAGCTGTTACTGCTTTGAGTTGGTGGTGAAAGGCCCAGGGCCAAGGTCCTGATCACCATCATCACTGCCTTAGGAGAGCATGGGACAGGGTGGTGTTGTCCAGTCATCACTGACCCAGGTGGCATGGCCTCAAAGTGCCTGGGTGGGAGTTTTGCACAACGTGGAGAGACTTAGCAGAGAAGTCTGGGCACGTAGAGTGCTATCAAAGACGTCAAGACCTCCTGGGCACCTCGGGAACCCGCTCCCGGCCATGAGGTTCTGAGGCAGTGCAGCAGTCTCCCGCCAAGAAGGGACTGGACCCCAAGCTGCTCCCTGGTCTGCAGTGCCCTTAGAATTTGAGTTTTCAGACTTCCTCCATTGGAGCAGTTCCAGCTGCTGTTCACCTAGAGCTGAGAACCACTGCCCTCCACCACTTGAGGGTTTTGTTTTTTTTTTTTTAAGAGAATTTAGCCTTTATTTTATTTATTTATTTGTTTTTATGTGGTGCAGAGGATTGAACCCTCTGCCTCACACATGCTAAATAAGCACTCCACCGCTGAGCTACAACCCCAGCCCGTGACTTAAGTTTTCTGTAAAGGAAAAAGAAAAACATTCCTGTGGAGCTTGGTGATGCAGGCTTTGTCACAAATCTGGTATTCGAAATTAACATAAAGGACAATGACTTGTGGGTTTTTAGGAGTCAGAGGATGTGTGTTTGAGGTCCAGGTTTAAAGATTAGTGCGAGAGACTCCAGGAATAGGCAGGAATGATGGGTGATTGCAGCTGGGGTGGGGCAGGAAGCCAGTAGCTGAGCTGGGGCTGGGCTGCAGCAGTGGGAAGGAAGTGGTGTAGGGCAGAGCCTAGTTGTCAGGTGATAGGCAAGTGGGGGAGCAGGAGGGCACTCTGGGACACAGTGGGGTGTGTTATCCACGTGCCCACCTTTACCGAAGGTGCTGCAGACGCTGCCTCTGCTTCACTGGGCTCAAGTGCCTCTAGCCAAGGAGCTGATGCTGAGGGCTTCCTGCTTGAGTTTTTGCACTCCACCTATTTGTCACGGTAGTTTGGGGAAGTGTCTGGTTTCTAACCAGGAGCATCTTGGGAGAAGCCAAGAATGATTTTGTTCTGGTAGTTGTTTTTTAATATTTCTCCAGTGAGAACTTGGACTTGGCTTTCTCCTTTTAGAATTTATAATTAAAAGTAAGGCTTGTACTATAGGGGTCTCCAGCTCACATGCCCTTGGAAGCCAACAAGTAAAAGTCAAGGTGAAGCCCTGAAGCTGTAGATAGGTAATAAGAAGCAAGAGAAAACCATGGAAACCAGGTTACAAAGCCAGCACGCAGCCTCTGCTTTGCTCTTTCTGACGCAGTCATTGTTGCATGAATTAGTGGACTTGAGGTTCTGACGACAGGCCTGAAAGTGTCCCGACCTAGCAGTCCCGTTTCTGTGTGTATACCAGGGGAGGTAAAAACGTAAATCCTCCGAGAACTGGTGTAAGAACCTTCATAGCTTTGTTCACGGCAGCCAAAGAAAGAGGCTACAGCCCAGACACAGGGCATGGCTACCCCACTAGGAAAGCCAGGGCACCACAAACCTGCAAGATGAGCCTGAAAGGCTCGTCTCGTGTGAAAGAAATGGCCAGTGGGGAGAAGCATGTTCCCATCTCCCCGTGATAGGAGCTTGGAGCTTGGCAGTCACATGGGAGATGTTGTGCAGGGTTGCTGGCACACAGGACCGGTTGACCATGCCAGGCAGGATTTCTAGATGAGGCCTTGACAGTCTTGGCAGGTAGTGGTGATGGCCACATGTGCACAGAGCCCTGGTGCTCTATTTTTCAGAAATGTGGATCTGACGGTCTAGGTTCTCAGCTTAGAGGTTGACAGCAGGACTAGTGTGCAGCCTGGTTCCAGGTGCTTCCCAGCAAGCACAAGGCCCTGGCTTCAACCCCTCGTACCACAAGAAAATTCTAAATAACGATCATCATAATAAGACAATAACCAAAACTCTCATGTGTGTGTCAATCGTCTCTAGGCAAAAAGGGTCTCATGACAATCTGCAGCACTGGCCCATTCCTCGGTTCCCCACTTGGCAGTGCCCGCGTGGCTGTGAAACTGTACGATTGGCCAGGCAGGGTCTGCTCCCCAGGGCCATGTGCCCAGGGTAAGACCTCTGCTCTCTGAGACCTCCATTCTCTGCCTGTGTTCCATGCGACACCAGGCAGAACCACGCCTGCCTCTAGCCCTTGCTGGCCACAGGGCAAGGCTGCAGACTCCAGGCTGGGGTTGCCAGCATAGCACTTCTGCACAGTCCTTCAGGCCTGGGGACTCCTGCTCTGCCCCACCGTCCTTGAATTTGAAAAGTAAAGAGGTCAGAGTTGCAGTCAGCCCTGTAATTTATACCTGAAACTGTCCCTTAGGTCTGCAGTGGGCACATGATATGAGCCCTATACATTGAGTGGTCTAAATAGCTGCTTTAAAAAAGGAAAAAGTGTCAGAATCCATTTTAACAGTATTTTATTTGATCCAGCATGAACAGAATGTCATAGTCCAATTGTGTTGGCATCATGAAGCCATCAGTGAAACAGTGGTCTCTTCCCATTCTAGTCTCCGGAGCCACGAGCCACGGGCACATGTAGGCATCATTGCTGCCGCAGGTCAGGCAGCCATGGACTCTTGTTTGGTGGGCTTGCCCCATCTCACTCCTCACAGGCCCCACCACAGATGATGCTGCCGGCTGCAGTGCAGACCCCAGGAATGCGTCTGCCCCAGGAGACATAAGTGTGAGTCATGGCCCCATTGCCAGTGCAGGATTAGGCAGCCTGGGCAGCTATGGCCTAGGAGGGGCCAGCAATCCACAGCCCCCAGTGCCTGAGACGATGTGAGGGCCCACCATGCTTGGTCCCTTAACCTTTAGATCTCCATCTGTTGTGAAGTTCCCAGTGTGCATAGTGTAGCTGATTATTATATGAAAAACTACAAGCTGACACTTGTGCTTGGGGTACATGCCTGTTTACTGTGGGGTGCTGTGTCAACACTTTTGGGAGCCAGAGCCCCACCACTTGGGGCCGTGGTCCTGGCAGAGGGCTGACAGTGATGGCTGGCAGGCATGTTCTGGTGCCTAGTTCCTGGCCTCTGCAGTCAGGCAGACGTGTATCCAGGCCTGGGGCAGGCTGCCCAGTGCCTGCGCATTGTCTCTTAGGCATATGCTCAGCGCCCAATGAGGTGGAGACCCTCATGCCTTAGCCTACAGTCCATTCCCAAGGGTCTTTGCTCATATGCCCAGGGTCTCCTTTGGTTCTACAGTCCTCAGCGACTTCCTTAGCAGGGCAGTGAGTCATGCTTGGAATTTCTAAGTGTTGCTGTAACCCCTTGAGAGAGGAAATTACTGATATTCTGGGCAGCCCTTGGTAAAACACTGAGCTCCCAAGAGCTGATGTGTTTTTAAACTGGAGTGTCTGCAGTTGCCATTGGAGCATTCTTGGACACCAGTGTTTATTCTTTTAACTTTCTAGAAACATGCACAGTGGAGATGTTCATTTCCACTTTCAAGTAGGAAAAAGAGCATCCTAAAAAACGCTTCTCAGGGTTGTGGCTCAGTGAGAGCACTTGCCTAGCATGTGTGAGGCGCTGGGTTCAATTCCCAGTACCATGTAAAGCCTTGAAGCAGGCTGTTCTCCGAGCATCGGGGCGGCCATCTCCTCTCCATCCTTGGACCGGGATGTGGCAGGGGATCCTGATGCTGACAGCTGCCCTCCTTGCCTCACACAGCCAGGCTTTGTTTTGGCTAAAGCCTCCTGAGTTGTGCCTGAGCCCTGAGGCAAGGCTTATGTGCTCCGGGTGCTTCCTCATCACTGACTCCCAGAGGCAGCAGAGCATAGGGAGCATAAAGCAGCCAGGGCTGATGAGGAGACAGTGTGTGGAGAGGGCCCTAAGGGCTGCCTCTGGATCAGACTTTGAGATGCGCAGCTGCTCTTACCCAGGAGTGAGCTGGGCTCAGTGCTCTTAGCAGGGACCCTGCTTCCCCCCCCCATCCCCCCTCCCTCCCCCGCCCCTGGCTGCAAGACCAGTTACTTGGTTAGTTGATAAGTGGTGAGAGCCACTCATCATCCCATCCCTGGCTGCCCTTCAGGGTCACAGCTTCGTCTCCCAGGAGCCCTGCGCGCTGCCTTTTCCTCTCCTAATCCTACGAGACCACTAACCGCCCTCTCGTATGTGTTTCCTTTCCTGCCACCCCCATGCCCAGGACACTGAGGACGAGGGCATGGGCACAGAGATGAAGACGCTGCGGGGCCACTGCGGACCTGTATACAGCACGCGCTTCCTCGCAGATGGCTCAGGGCTGCTCTCTTGCTCTGAAGATATGTCCATCCGATACTGGGACCTGGGCAGCTTCAGCAACACTGTGCTGTACCAAGGGCATGCCTACCCAGTGTGGGACTTAGACGTCAGCCCCTACAGCCTGTACTTTGCCAGTGGGTCCCACGACCGCACCGCCAGGCTGTGGTCACTGGATCGGACGTACCCCCTGAGGATATACGCAGGTCACCTGGCAGATGTGGACTGTGTCAAGTTCCACCCAAACTCCAACTACCTGGCCACAGGCTCGACCGACAAAACTGTCCGGCTATGGAGCGCCCAGCAGGGGAACTCTGTGCGGCTCTTCACAGGCCACCGCGGGCCCGTGCTGGCTGTTGCCTTCTCTCCCAATGGGAAGTACTTGGCCTCCGCAGGCGAGGACCAGCGGTTGAAGCTGTGGGACTTGGCCTCTGGGACCCTCTTCAAGGAGCTGAGAGGCCACACAGACAGCATCACCAGCCTCGCCTTCAGCCCAGACAGCGGCCTGGTGGCCTCTGCCTCCATGGACAACTCTGTGCGCGTCTGGGACATCAGGAGCGCCTGCGGCAGTGCGCCTGCCGACGGCTCCTCCAGTGAGCTGGTGGGTGTGTACACGGGGCCCATGAGCAGTGTCCTGGGTGTGCAGTTCATGGCCTGCAACCTCCTCCTGGTGACGGGGATCACACAGGAAAATCAGGAGCATTAGCCTTTTACCTTGGTTAGGGTGGACTGAGCCGTGGCAGAGGCCTCTGGCTGCAGCAGTGGACATGTGGAGACCGAATCACTGATGGACTGTGACAGAGCCCTTCCCTTCCTGCTGGGCCCCGACCACGCTGCAGGCCCATGGGGCTCTTGGGGGGGGCAGAGCATTGGTGCCCGAGTATGGGCTGAGGACTGGCCCGCTCCCAGGGCGGCTGCTGGCCTTGAGGACCCCCAGGACCTCCTGCACCTCCCTCTCCTCCCCGACTGACCTGCCTTCTCCTGCCCTCAGGCTGCAGAGTGCCCACAGCAGCGGCACAGTGTCACTTGGGCTACCCTTCGCTTCTGGGGGGCTCCTTTTGGAGACTGGGGTGGGGCCTGGGGAGGGCTCATCCTGGCAGAGTCTTTCCTTTTCCTTCATGACAGAGAACCAGGATTTTTTTTATTATTGTTATTATAATTATTATTATTATTATTATTATTATTGAGAAGAGGAAACTAGCACTGGCAGAGAGGCCCTTCTCTGCTTTTATCTTTCAGGTTTGACTCCTCGCACTGGCTGTGATCCTGGGAATTTTAAGGTTCAGGGAACTCAGAGAAGCTGGCAGCACAGTGTGTTGGGAGAAGGGAAGTCTCTGTGTGGCCTGGTGGTGCCAGGGACCCATTTCTGGAAGCAGGTGAGGGCGCTGAGCGCTGGCTCTGTAGTGGCCCTGGGAAGGGAAAGTCCTTTTCTCAGCTGCACTTTTGTCAGAAATTCTCCCCTAAAAAGAGAGATGATGGTGGGCTGGTGTGACTTGGCAGCAGACCGCTTGCCTAGCAGGCGTGAGGCCCCAGGTTTAGTCCCCAGCACCAGATAAAAAAGATTATGATAAAAAACAATTTGGAATAAGTCACAAGACATGAAGTCTCCAAAGGACTGTTTGTCAAGGTAGCCCTCAGCGTCTTCCTCCCACGGTGGCCACGTTGCGCTGACCTGCCTTGTTTTGTCGCGCCCGCCCTGAGGGCATGCCAAGCCCAGCTATGCTGAGGGTAAAGCAAGTTCCGACGTGTGGGAAAAGGGTTAAATATTTCTGTTTTCTGAAAAAAGTTATTTTGTATTTTGTTTTCTATTAAAATGTATTTAGTTTCAACAAACAGTGTCTCCTCTTTTTGGCCTCGGCAAGGCAGGTGGCAGCCAGGACAGTCCCAGGCACGGCATCGTATCTGTTCTTGGGTTCTTTGGGGTTCACATCAGGTGCAGTTGCTCTCGGCCTTTGCCTGGATTGCTGGTGGCATTCCGCACTGTCCGCATCCTGCGAGGCACATATTCTACCACCTGTGGAGTCATTGGGAAAGCCCTCCTTCCAGCTCCTTGAAAGACCCTCTGAAGATCTGTAAGGAGCATAAGAACCAGGTCATTTCATAAACTTGAACTTATAGACAATTCTGGATAAAGACTTTTTTTTTAAGAGGTTTCTAAACGATGCCAAAATTGAAACCGATGCTAGTAAGCCCTGATGGAGTAGATGCCCTGTGGTCAGAGGCTGGAGGCCCTGTTGCCTAGAGTTGTCTCAAATCAGCCTCATTTGGTAGAGAATAATGTAGTTCCTTCTCTATGCCTTGAGACATGATTCCTATGTTGAGACTTTCATAAAGTAGTACAGGTAAGTGAAATCATAAGGCTAGTTTCAGCTTTAAAAAAGTAGTGTACTTTGAAATGACACCAAGAATTGCCAAAAATTTTGTAGGAAGACAGGAATGTTATTCCTGTTTTTTAGCTTGACCTGCACTGCTAATACCTAGTGCTGTGATTCCTGAAGCCTGTCTGAGACATCAGGAGCATTCTGCGCAGCGCAGCCCTCAGGCTGCCCTCATGTGCTCTGTGGGGAGAGCTGGAAGCTCCAGCAGATTCTGAGTGACAGAGATCTTGGGGGTATCTGTGGCTGAATTATTCTCAGAGGTGAAGTATCACTCTGTAGGAAGATTTTGTATAATTTTACCAATGCAGAATCTCCTGGTCAAGCACACAAGCCACTAGGGCTGGTCAGGCTTCTCATCACCAGCACAACTAGTCCTGTGATGGGTTTGGGCTTTCAGGACCTGCAGAATGAGCCTGGCTCCCTTCTCTAGTGAACTCGCATTAACATTGGGTGATTGACTTTACAGATTGCCCTTCATAACTTCCCCAAACTTGTGCAAGTATTAAAAGGGGGCTGTGAGGGGCTGGGGATGTGGCTCAAGTGGTAGCGCTCTCGCCTGGCATGCGTGAGGCCCTGGATTCGATTCTCGGGACCACATTAAAATAAAAAATAAAGATATTGTGTCCATCTAAAACTAAAAAATAAAATATTGAAAAAAGTGTGTGTGTGTGTCTACCTTGGTGCCTATACAAGGTCACCCTCCAGAGTGTGCCTTCTCCCTCAGCAGCACCCAGGGAATGGTGGGGAGGAAGTGTTCAGGAGCTGTTATGTTATATCCTGTTATGAACTAAAATGGGAGCCTGGCAAGGTGTGCTTCCCTCCCAGGTGTCCTGGTGATCTTAGGAGGATAGTCCTGGACATAGAAATAAAAGTCCTTTAAGCTGGGTGTGGTGGCCAAGCCTGTGATCCCAGAGACTCAGGAGGCTGAGGCAGGAGGATTGCAAGTTCTCAGCAACTTGCTAAGTTCCTGTTTCAAAAAGTGAAAAGGACTGAGGGTGCAGCTCAGTGGTTGAGGGCTCTTGGGTTAATCCCTAGAATCAAACAAATGAAACTAAAAGCCTTCCAAAAAGGGAATCTGTAAATATGATGCATCTCTGCAATGTGTGCCAGGGAGTGTCAGGACAAGAGCCTCAGAGTGCTGTTTTAATTTAGCAGAAGACCTCCTGAAAGGAAAAGGGAAAATCAAGGGAGCCTGAGAGCAGCACAGGAGCAGCCATCATGTGCTCAGAGCCCCACGTGTGCAAACACCAGGATTCCTCCTTTCATGTCTTGATTCATTTGTTAAAATGCCCTGGTTACATTAAAAACGATGGGATATGCAGATGTAATATTGCACTACCCAGGTTGGTATTCGATAGAAGATGCACACCTGTGCTGGCCACACCAACCAGTGCCCCAGAGGCCTCCCCTGTGCCGGCCACGCCAGGCAGCCTCTTCAACACCCATGTTGCCCAGGCAACTCAAACTACTTGTGGGAATCAGGTTTCCATCCCAGAATGTCCAATGCACATGTTCTTGTCAGGGTGACTCACTGAAGGACAACTTACCTGTGGGTAAACATTTCCTAAGAGAAGTGTCTTCACGTAGTTACGTGTGTTTCTGCTAGCACCGGATGTGTTAGCTGATGGCGATGCAGAGGTCAGCAAAGCCCAGGTGGCCTCTGCCTTGTGCTTACAGTGCCTGCAGGAACCTGATTCCACAAGTACAAGCTGACTGGAAGACCGGCCCACCGTGGATCTGGAAAGGCTTCTGGGGAAAGTACAACTCGGCAGGAGGCCAAAAGCAGCCGGGGAGCAAGCTGAACACAGGCCAGGAAGAGGAGTCTAGCTTTTGTCCTTGGGATGAGGCCACCGAGATGCTACAGGACAGGGCCTGGTGCTGTCCAGTGTCCACCTTGGTGTGGCCAGGGATTCTGCTCCAGCATGGGGATGATTCTGTAGTGTTCCCTGAGCCTGTCGGAGCCAAGCCCTTAGCACAGATGATGGGGACTCCAACAGCCTGCAAAGATGTGGATCCTGCTGCCAGTCAGCAGGGATCTTGGGTGTCAATGTTGCCCCCAGAGCCTCCAGCAAGCCTGAGGTCCTGGCTGACTGCAGCCCCAGAGGGGCCTTGAGGCAGGAAAGCCCAGCAGAAGCCCGACGATTCCTGCCCAGAGAGGACTGTGACATGAGGACTTCCTTAAGCCAGGGAAGTTCCTTAAGCCAGGGAAGTTCCAGGTAACTCGTCCCGCAGTGGGTAAGCGCCCCACCTACCCTGCCTCACAGCTACTCTTCCAGACAATGAAAGGATTGCTGATTGTTTTAAGGGGCTTGCTGTAAGGGGCCCAGGTTGGAGGGTGTAAGAGTGAGGCAAGGAGGTGGTGATGGGCTACTGGCCACGGTAGACCTGCGATCATGCCAGCCCTCCAGGGACAGGCTTGCTAGACTTCCTGTGCACTGGACAGCAGGAGAAGAGGAGGACAAATGATGGCCTGGGATTTCTGGCATAAGCATCATCTGTTTTTGGTTTTGACGCTGGGTGGTGCCTAGGGCCTGCACATGCTGAGCACTCCACCACTGAGCTGCACCTGCACCACTTACCCCAACCAACACTAGTGGCAGAGAAAGAGGATGTGATGTGAGAAAGGATCCAGGGTCTGGTGTTGTGTTTTGTGGGGAGTTCTTGGTGGTTTTTTTGTATGAGATTTTTGTGTTTGTTTGGTCCTGGAGATTGAATCCAGGGTGCTTTACCACTGAGTCACACTCCAGCCCATTTTACTTACTTGAGTCAGGGTCTCACTAAGTTGCTGAGTTTGGCCTTGAACTTGTGATCCTCCTGCCTTAGGCTCCTGAGTCCCTATGATCACAGACATGCAGCACCATGCCTGGCTTGTTTTGTTTTTTTGAGACAGGGTCTTAACGTTACCCAGGAGTGTATTGTACCCCAGAGTTTGAGAGACCCTCCTCCTCAGCCTCCCAAGTAGCTGGGTCTACAGGTGTACACCACTGCACCCCCCTTGGGTTAGTGTTGGCTTCCTCAATTTGAGGTGCTTATGAGAGAACCCAGCCAATGTCCTGTGGGTGGTTGGACGGAGGTGCCTGGAGCCCCGGGGGAGGACTGGATGGACTCCAAGTGGTTTCTAGGTGGAGGATTTTACTGGTTCACATACTGGCAAGTCTGGAGGCCCACCTGTTCTGTAGTGGCTCTGTGCTCTGTGGCTGGCTTTGCCCATGGTTGCAAGGGGGCTCCTGGGACCACCTAGGGGAGACACCCTGCTCCATGGCTAGTGGCACTGGGCACCACTATCACCATCCTCACTCTAGGATCCCATATGAAGCTCCCAGAAACCCTTTGACTTCCCTTGACTTAGGTCTGCCCATCAGAGGCCCACCCCAGTAACATCCCTGCTGCCAGTTGGGAAGGTGAACATCAGGTTGCTGCAGGAGTGGTTGGAAGGCCCTTGGACTTGGAAACTTTATGTGGCTGAAGATAAAAGCATGGGTGAGGTGAGCCTGGCTGTGCGTGGAAACTCTCCAGGGTGCAGGGTGAGGTGAGCCTGGCTGTGTTTGGAAGCTCTCCAGAGTGTAGGAATGAGGTGAGCCTGGCTGTGCCTGGAAACTCTCCAGGATGCAGGGGTGAGAAGGTGAGCCTGGCTGTGCCTGGAAGCTCTCCAGGGTGCAGGAATGAGGTGAGCCTGGCTGTGCCTGGAAACTCTCCAAGGTACAGGGGTGAGAAGGTGAGCCTGGCTGTGTCTGGAAACTCTCCAAGGTGCAGGGGTGAGGTGAGCCTGGCTGTGCCTGGAAGCTCTCCAGGGTGCAGAGGTGAGGTGAGCCTGGCTGTGCCTGGAAACTCTCCAAGGGGTAGGGG